CCATCATTGACATGCTATCATATCAGCATTTTTCATTGTTTATTTTTGTTAAAGTATTTAGTGAGAAAAATTTTCATATGCATAATAAAGAATTCTGCTGATCTGTCTTCAGCTAGATACTACAAAGATAACTGCAGGCAAATATATTACAATACTTAGAGAAGTGAATTAGCAATGAAAAGATGAAAAAGAGATTTGACTTTGCTCAGCCTAGAAGTTTGTTGTCAAGTCTAGATTAATCTCCTTAGCTCACTTTGTAGTCAGTGGGAAAAGATAAATATGTCCTCCTACTAAGAAGGAGAAAAATAACTGTTACATCTGAACCCAGGACAACTTCACAGAGAGTTATGCATCCCACCCACTCTCAAAATCTCTTTGAAGATGAACTGTTCTGTTTCTCTCCACTCAGACTTACAGAGCCATTTGTGGGTGAAAATACCCAAGCTGTAACTGGTGAAATATGATCTGATAAAAATACCAGGTACAGCAACTTATTCTCTATGAACTTCGTGAAATTAATAATCTACTTCAAAGTAAAGTAATTCAATTAAAAATGTAAGGTAATAAATAATTTATAGTGAATTTGTAAAATGGCAGAAGTATCTCTACCACCTTGTATACTGTCCGTATATGGGACTAACATCCTGTGGATGCTATAGTGAAGAAATCTGTGTAAAAAATCTTACAGAAATGTCTTGCAAACATATAGGATCTCTTTAATGTTTGTAATGCTTCACTTATTATGTATACCATATTTGCTTTTTTCTTCAGGCTCTAGCACTAAAGATAATTCTTACCTAATTTTTCATGTCTGTTACACTGCCATGAAATGCGTACCATAATCTAGGGAACTCAATTTGGGAGGCCCGGTCTACTAGAGGCTGGTGGAGCTGCTAAGCGGTTTTGGCAGGAGGCTTGCCAGGCTCGTCAAGAAAGCTTTAAACTAGATGTACTGGGGGAGGGGGTCATCATTCCATCCCAACACACCCAGTCAGTTGCCAGCACCTGTAATAAATGCTCGGAGCGATGCAGAGATATTTCAGCCGCTCCAGACAATGAGCCGGCTTCATTTGGAGCTCAGCTCAGATGCCTCTATACAAACGTCCATAGCATGGGGAACAAACGACAAATTAGAGATGTGTGCACATCTATGGGGATATGATACAACAGGTATCACAGAAACATAGTGGGATGGCTCCTATGAGTGGAGCGTCCAGCTGGAGACCAATAATGAGTGGTGTCCCTCAGGGATTGGTGTTGGGATCGGCATTGTTCAACATCTTTGTTAGTGACATGGACAGTGGGATTGAGTGCACCCTCAGCAAATTTGCCGATGACACCAAGCTGTGTGGTTCAGTTGATACACTGGAGGGAAGGAATGCCATCCAGAGGGACCTTGACACTCTTGTGAGGTGGGCTGATGCCAAACTTATGAAGTTTAACCATGCCAAGTGCAAGGTCCTACACCTGGGTTGGAGCAATCCCAAACACAGCTACAGGCTGGGCAGAGAACAGGTTCAGAGCAGCCCTGTGGAGAAGCACTTGGGAGTGTTGGCCAATGAGAAAATGAACATGAGCCAGCTTCAGTGTGAGCTCGCAGCCCAGAAAGCCAACCGTATCCTGGGCTGCATCAAAAGGAGCGTGACCAGCAGGTCAAAGGAGGTGATCCTGCCCCTCTACTCTGCTCTTGTGAGACCTCACCTGGAGTATTTTGTGCAGTTCTGGTGTCCTCAACATAAAAAGGACATGGAACTGTTGGAACAAGTCCAGAGGAGGCCACGAGGATGATCAGGGGACTGGAGCACCTCCCATATGAAGACAGGCTGAGGAAGTGGGGGCTGTTCAGCCTGGAGAAGGCTGAGTGGAGACTCCATAGCAACATTACAGTATCTGAAGGGGGCCTACAAGAATGCTGGGGAGGGACTCTTCACTAGGGACTGTAGTGATAGGACAAGGGTAATGGGTTCAAACTTAAGCAGAGGAAGTTTAGACTGCATATAAGGACGAAGTTCTTTACTGTGAGGGTGGTGAGGCACTGGAATGCGTTGCCCAGGGAAGCTGTGAATGCTCCATCCCTGGCGGTGTTCAAGGCCAGGCTGGACAGAGCCTTGGGTGGCATGGTTTAGTGTGAGGTGTCCCTGCCCCTGGCAGGGGCGTTGGAACTAGATGATCTTAAGGTCCTTTTCAATCCTAGCTATTCTACGATTCTATGATTCTATAATGGAAGGTTACAGGCTCTTCAGAAAAGACAGGCCTGGCAGACAGCTAGGGCCAGTTGCTATTTATGTTAGGGATAGGCTGGAGAGTATGAACTCCGTCTGAGGACAGGTGATCAGTTAACAGAGAGTCTGTGGGTCAGACTTAAAGGGAGAACAGCAATGGGAGACATTACTGTGGGGATCTGTTACAGACCACCTGATCAAGAGGACTCTCTGGATGAAGCGCTCTATAGACAGATAGGAGCAGCCTCATGCTTGCAGGCCCTTGTCCTCACTGGGGACTTCAATCAACCTAATATCTGTTGGAGGGATGCTGCGGCCCAGCACAAGCAATCCAGAAGGTTCCTTGATTGTGTAGAAGACAAATTCCTTCTTCAAGTAATAGAGGAGCTGACAAGGAGAGGTGCCATGCTTGACCTCATGCTAACAGGGAAGAGCTCGTTGGAAATGTGATGCTCCAGGGCAGCCTTGGTTGTAGCAATCATGAGATGGTCGAATTTGAGATCTTCAGGACAGTGAGAAGAGTGTGCAGCAAGCTCACTGCCCTGGACTTCAAAAGAGCAGACTTTGGCCTCTTCAGAAACCTACTTAGTAAGGTTCCATGGGATATAGCCCTAGAGGGCACGGGGGGCTCAAAACTGTTGGTTGATATTCAAGGATCACCTACTAGAAGCTCAGGAGTGTTGCATCCTGACTAGAAAAAGTGCAGCAGGAGGGCCAGGAGACCTTCTTGGGTGGATAAGGAGCTGCTGAGGAAACTTTGAGGGAAAAAAAGAGGCTTATAAAAGATGGAAGCAAGGACAGGCGGCCTGGGAAGAATACAGGGATGTTGTCCGGGAAGCTAGGGACCAGGTTAGGAAAGCTAAGGCCTAGTTAGAATTAAACTTGACAGGGGATGTGAAACATAACAGGAAAGGATTCTGTAGGTACATTGCAAATAAAAGACAGACTAGGGACAACGTGGGCCCGCTCCAGCAGCTATCCAGCCAGCAGGAGAACTGGCTACCCTGGGTTTGGGGAAGGCTGAGGTTCTCAATGAATTCTTTGCCTCATTCTTGACTGGCAAATGCTCTGACCACACCATCCAAGTCTTGGAAGGCAGACACAGGGAATGTGAGAGTGAAGACCTTGGGGCCACTGTAGGAGAGGATCTGCTTCGAGACCATCTTAAGAACCTGAATGTGCACAAGTTCATGGGACCTGACAAAATCCATCTGTGGATCCCGAAGGAGCTGGCAAATGAAGTTGCTAAGCCACTGTCCATCATATTTGAAAAATCATGGCAGCCAGGTGAAGTTCCTTACAACTGGAAAAAGGGAAATATAATCCCCATTTTCAAGAAGGGGAAAACGGATGACCCAGGGAACTACAGACCAGTCAGTCTCACCTCTGTGCCTGGCAAAATCTTGGAGCAGATTCTCCTGGAAGGCATGCTAAGGCACATGAAAAACAACAAGGTGCTTGGTGACAGCCAGCATGGCTTCAGTAAGGGGAAATCCTGCCTGACCAATTTGGTGGCCTTCTATGGTGGGGCTGCAGAACTGATGGACAGGAGTAGAGCAGTTGATGTCATCTACCTGGACTTGTGCAAAGCGTTCGACACTGTCCCACACGATATCCTTGTCTCTAAACTGGAAAGACATCAATTTGATAGGTGGACCACTTGGTGGATAAAGAACTGGCTGGCTGGCTGAACAAAAAGAGCTGTGGTCAATGGCTCAATGTCCAGCTGGAGACCAGTAACGAGTGGTGTCCCTCAGGGATCGGGGTTGGGACCAGTGTTGTTCAACATCTTTGTCGGTGACATGGACAATGGGATTGAGTGCGCCCTCAGCAAGTTTGCTGATGACACCAAGCTGTGTGGTTCGGTTGACGCGCTGGAGGGAAGGAATAGCATCCAGAGGGACCTTGACACGCTTGTGAGGTGGCCTGATGCCAACCTTATGAAGTTTAACCATGGCAAGTGCACAGTCCTACACCTCGGCAGGAGCAATCGCAGGCACGGGTACAGGTTGGGCAGAGAAGAGATTCAGAGCAGCCCTGCAGAGAAGGAGACCCCAATTGGAGTATTGTGTACAGTTCTGGTATCCTCAACATAAAAAGGACATGGAACTGTTGGAACAAGTCCAGAGGAGGCCACGAGGATGATCAGGGGACTGGAGCACCTCCCGTATGAAGATAGGCTGAGAAAGTTGGGGCTGTTCAGCCTGGAGAAGAGAAGGCTGCGTGGAGACCTCAGAGCAGCCTTCCAGTATCTGAAGGGGGGCCTATAGGGATGCTGGGGATGGACTCTTCATTAGGGACTGTAGTGACAGGACAAGGGGTAATGGATTCAAACTTAAACAGGGGAAGTTTAGACTGGATATAAGGAGGAAGTTTTTTACTGTGATGGTGGTAAGGCACTGGAATGGGCTGCTCAGGGAGGCTGTGAATGCTCCATCCCTGGCGGTGTTCAAGGCTGGGCTGGACAGAGCCTTGGGTGACATTGTTTAGTGCGAGATGACCCTGCCTATGGCAGGGGGTTGGAACTAGATGATCCTAAGGACCTTTCCGACCCTAACTAGTCTATGATTCTATGATTCTATGATTGTGTTAGTTCAGTTTAACAAGAAAAAAATTGCTGATATTAACAAAAGAAAGATCACTTTGTTTGTTTTTTCTTTTTTAAGACAAAACAGAATGGAATGAAAGGAAATGCAGACATACTACCTCGTATTTCTTGTTATGAAAACAAGTGTAAGTCACTGAGAATTTACACTTCTTAGCATCTAATAGTGTTAAGGAGAGGTAATCTGAATCTGAGTTACATTGATAAAAAGAGGATGACTTCCTCACACGCATCCTTCAATGAAAATGGAAGCATGAAAATGAAACAGTATTTGATCTCTTGCATCCAAGTGGATGTTTCTGTGTTGGTATTTAAAATTGACCTCAACCTGTTCAAAACCTGTGTAAATAAACCTTGAGTTTATTTTCCTTCCTGTTTTGGAAATTGGAGTTCCAGGGAGAAGCATGTGTAAGATGTTAATGTCTGTGGGTGAGAGCTGGATACGAGTAACTGAAATGTATGTAAAATTACAACCTTCTGGCTCTGAGAATAACCAACAAGATTAAGATAAGCAGGAAATGTTAGAAGTCATTGAAAACACACTTGAAAGAGATTGTTACAACTGCTGTCAGTAATTTACATAAATGAAGGACAGATGCTCAAACTAAAAGGTCAAGATCAAACAGCACCTGACACTCCTATCTCAGAATCTGTTTGCTTGCTGCCATCTGAATATTTGTATCAGTGTCTCTGGAAATCAAAATAAATATTTTAACTTGCAAATATGTGCTCCTACACTGCTTTGAAATCACCTTTCCCCCCTTTCCCCCCCCCCTTTTTTTTCCCTCTCTAAAAAACCAAAAATTTTTTATCATCACTAGTTCTGGAAAGGTATCGGGCTCTATTCAGTTTTCAAGTTACCAGAAACTCTTTGTAAAGTCAACAGACACTATTTAGGAATTACAAAGGTAATGTTTGATTTTCTGTGAGCAATCCAGTGAGTTCTCAGCACTAGCAATTTTCTCATTTCCTAAACAGGAAAAAGGTATTTGTGAGAAAATGTTGTATAAGACCACTGTGCTTTGTTTAGAGCAGTGGATGCTACTGAAATGGAGCTAAACAACAATTAATAATGAGAAACTGCGACCTACTTGCCTATGGAGGAAAAAGAAATCACTTGTTTACTTAAGGAAACAGTTACTTGTAGCTGTTATTTGTACATGACTTGATTCTCGTTGAATAGTTGTTAAAAGGAAGGATTTATGATACTAGGACAGTATGTTTCTGAGTTGCAGAGGGAAACTAATGCTATGAGCAACAACTCAAACATGCCTGCTGTAGTCCTTTTACAAAATCAACCATAATAGGCAGCTCCTGTATTCACTGTGGCAGTTCAGCACAAGCAAGTCAATCTGCCCCAGAAACGTCCTTTGTTAAGACAGAAGAGCTTTTAAGTCTGACAGCTGTTTCTGCCTTGCTTTCTGCAAATGTGCCCCAAGCCTTGTTGTGAGCTGTATTAACAGCTTCTAGAGAAGGATGAAATCAGCAGCTTGCCTCTTATATCTTGTCTTAGTCACAAGTTTCCACTTGAGGAGCCTACATTTTTATTATGTTGAAGAAAGCTTACAAAACTGGTATGTAAACCTTGACCTGCAAATTTCCTAGTGAGGTAGTTGTTCCAGCTGATTAAGAATCTGCATTTTAAATGAAGTTAACCATTGCATAATAGAACAATAGAATCATAGAATAGTTAGGATTGGAAAGGACCTTAAGAATAAATACTTTAGTAAACTTCACTAGTTTAGTAAACTTCACTAGTAGTAATGCTTCAAGCCATTAGTGATGTTGTGAATGGTCTCAGCTTTCACTTACTCAAGGAACAACCAATATCTCAATACCTCTAGTATACTTTATAAAGCTTGACAATATTGAAATTTCTTAACCCTCATCCTTTTCTCAAGAGTATTGCACTGCTGTAAAGATGTGTGGATAACTGATCTGGCAAAGCCTTGTATTTTAACAGGAGTAAGTCAAAATACTAAAAGGAATTACCCTCTTCTACCTGAAAAAGGGTATCTATAACAGATGAAAGTTACATTCAGCATGAAAAAAACCCAAACCAAACCAATTTTCATTGCTCACAAGAAAATATCCTGAAAGGATTACAGTGTTCCTGGGAAAAATTCTGCTTACCAGATCCAGTGCTGCTCACTTGAGTTATTTTTTCATCATCTTCGTCATCACTGCTAAATGGCTGAAAGGCAATTTCTGACTCTGTGTCTATTTGGTAAGCATCTAGCTCTTGCTCAGCAAAGCTTCGCAGTGCCACAAGGCGGTGATGAATTGCTGCATACAGGTATCCAATGTCTTTTGAGCTTGCCTGCAGAACATAAAATATGCGCAGTCCAAACCAATAAAAAAAAATCTCATTTTTTCACAGAGAAGATGACTGAGAAATTTTCAAAAGTAATGAAAGAGCTGTATTTTGTCCTTTTAAATCAAAACAATCCATTTAAGATTCACACTTAAGAAAATAAAATTAAATACAAATAATGTCAACTTTAAGTGGTTGTGTTTTGTAATATGTACCTGTTGATTATTTTCTCTATAGTTACAAGAGCAAGCTTGAAAATTATTTCCCCTGAAGAATGGCTCCATTTCCTGAATATGCTTCTAGAAGTAAGAATAAACTTGCACTTTGTTTTGCAGAATAAATAAGAATTTTAAAACCTAACTACAAAGAAAAATATTTGTGATTATAAAGTTTAAAGATACCATGAATTCTGCTGCTATTGTTGAGCAGATGAGCATCATCAAGTTGGGTATTGATATCCATTCCATGAGTGGTATGTGAATCACAGTCTGGAAATGTCCATCCTAAGGCCATATCCCATCTTCACACCTTTTTTTTTAATACCAAGGGATAGCTCATTTCATAATAAAAGCTATGTAACAGCTAAGTTAAGCACAGCACAACAGAGCACAGAAGGCCATTTGCTAAAACCAAAGCCTCAGAGAGGTCTTCAGAATCCAAAAAGAAATGTGTATTTGTGTGGCATTTTTATCGCTTGCTTACCTGAATTAGAAATACTTGAACAGAGTGGTCCTCTTGGGCTGTTGCAGTGAAGCACAGGCTCTTCCTGTTTGCTCTTTTTATAACCATTTGCTCCCAGAGTCGGGTGTTGAGAATAAGTTTCAAACTGCCTTGATTTCGCATAACTAAAATAAAAAGGTTTATATGATAAGTCATTTTTACTGCCGCAGTTTTCTCTAGCACTTGTATACAACTAAGATTTTCATAAATGAGTATTTTTAATTTGGTCTAAAACCTGACATGGTGATTTTTTTTTTTTTTAATTATTTTTAAATACCAAAGACATTAGCTTCTTTCAATACATACAAAGCAAATAATCTGCTGAAACTGTGCAATACAGTACAAAAAAATTGACAGCACAGTAAAAACAACATTCCAGAAGTGACTTGAAACAGTGCTCCTGCAAAAGCAGAATCAACAAAGAGCAAACTGTCAGGCTGGTGATTGAGCTAAGGATACACTGCAGTAAAAATACACAGAAGCTAACAACATATGTAAGCTAAGTGTACAAACTGAGTGAAAAATCCCCAATGCCTCAGTCTGTAACACAGCTAACTTCTATCACGCAATGTTAAAAAAGATTCTCAGCAACTTGACTTAAATAAAGCCAGCTACTCAGTGTTAATACTGTGAAATAAACCTATTCTGGCCAGCAACAGTACAAGTTATTTAGTGTTTTGTGTGTATGTGTAATTTTGGTATTTAATTCTTACTTAGCCTTGACTGCAGCATTCCATGTTTATTGCTAGAAGTGTCATTAAGCCTCAGGGAGCCTCTGCCTCTTTCAATCCAAGTTAAAGAAAGCTTATTAAATTTAAAGAGCTTGCAGTTGATCTGAAAAAAGAAATACATGATGAAAATTGCCAGCCAATGTTAATTTTATTGGTTCTAAAACTTTATATTTTTAAACCTTTTGATACAGCTTTTAACATGTCCATATGCATGTATACAAAGACAGAAACATAGATAGATCACCACAATTACTTAAAATGAAATGGCTCCCAGATCTGTGCTAAACATTCTGCTAGTCATGGAAAACATTCAGCATGAATCCCAGTCTACTTTTTCAATTATTTCATCTGTGATACCCACTAACAGCTGAATTTGTTGCAACTGTTCTACAATCTTATTCCCCTACCTATTAGAAACATTATACAGAGCAGGATGCCAGTACCACTACTAAGAGAGTACTACTAGAAAGAGAGTAAAATTTCCATGTTCTGACAAGACAGAAGATTTAATCAACGATAAAATTTCCCTGCCCATGGCAGGGGCGTTGGAACTAGATGATCTCAAGGTCCTTTCCAACCCAAACCATTCTATGATTCTATGATAAAATAATGTAATGTTCAATGTTAAGATTTTTTAAATCATATGTAATTGTTATTTCCTAAAAACATTGCATTTTTAAGGTGAAGAGTAGTAAGGTGTGTCTTGCTGAGCCAGAAAAATAACTAATATTTTAGATGAATGATAAAACTAATTACCTTCTGTCATGGTTTAACCAGGATACTCTGACAGCACATTGCTGGTGATAAAAAAAGTCTTTGCCCAACTTATTATCAATTTTGACAGTTCAGCTACTGCTGTATAATTCCTTATAAAATGCAACTACAGAATAAAATCCTGAAGCAGTCACTGAAAAGGACTACAAAATGAACAGATATAATTCGAAACAGAAAATACCGACTTACAGAATAATTGGTTAGCAGAGACATATCTTTAAAAAGTGAAAATTCAAAATATAAATTGAAGTTATTTACAGCTTGCTGCGATCTGTAATGGATCTCAATGTTCTTTTCAACAACAAAACTGCTCACCATCTAGTCTTTGTGAAATACACACCTGTAATACATTGTGTTCTGCTTCTTCTCCAGTTATAACTTCAATTTTAGCTAACAGAATTTTCTCCACTGGCTTGGAAATACAAGCAGCTGCTGATTCAATTAGTGTTGCATTCTTCAACAGAGATGTTTCTGTAGGGAAAAAAAAAGGAAACCCAGGACAATAAAACTAGCACACATGATGGCCTGTGCCTTCAGTTGTGTCAAAGTAATTTATCTACCTGAGCAGTCACAAAATACAAGCAGCTTAAAATCAAGTTAAAAATCAGTCCAAAAGGTATTCACAAAGTTCACTGCATTTTCAAATAATAAACAGTAACAATCTGTAATAAATAGTAACAATCTGTAAAACCCTAACCTTTCCTGAGTAACTTAGATGATTCATTCTGAAGTTAGTCCAGTTCAAATGTCATAAACCAAACTATAGCTGCTTTCTGAACACAGCTTTTGGCACAAACTGCAAGCATGCTATTGACCTGAGTACTTAGAGTAGATTAAAATTATTTACCAGCACTTATTTTATATCCTCTAAAATGCAGTGAAACATAATAAAGCTAACTGTACTTGTTTGCTTACTTGTTTGTGGACTGATGTGACAAGGTTCTGTGTGCGTGGATGTTACTTCCCCTTTGTATGAACTGGCTTTGTTATACACCTTTGGATGCTTCTCAGGACTCTAAAAAACCCAGGGGAAATAAGAATTCCCATTTAAATAAAATGGCAATTTTACTTCATATCAAACAGAACACTGAATCATTCAGCAATTGTAGTATCTTCAGAGTAAAAACTGACCCAGATGATACATTTTCAGTCTCTACTGGAAGAGACTGAATTTTATTATCATGAGTATATAATTTTTCCACTGAGAAGAATGACCTCTTTGTATGGATCCCGGATTAAGATTTAAATCCACTGAAGGACTTAGATGTTTACGTACCAGCTAATTTCTGGTTTAACCTCTTAAACCCTAGGAGAATAGTTTAAACATACAAACTTAACAGCAGGGGAATTAAAAATTTCCATGACCTTCAGTTTTTGAACATAAAATTTCTTAGGCATGTCTAAATAAATGCTTCTGGTTCCCTACAATGCTCAGTGGCTCAACACCTACCTTGTAGCTAAATCCTGGTCATAAGTCATAACTGAGACCTATGGTGGCCAAGCTTTTTCACTGGCAGATATGCATATTGTTTTCATTCTACTTCTGCTAGAAAATGAGTATCAGTTCCATTTTGAGTGGTGCAGTCCTCCTTAGCTTGTCAACCACCTTTTTGTCTGAATTTCCTTCAGGACTTGATCCGTTAAGCTGTCTCACAGCATGCACAATTTAGTTCAGCATGGACACTATCCAGCATACTTATTTCTCCCACCTCTTAACGGTTATGATGAAAACCACTAGAGTGATGGGGACCACATTCTTTTATCTTGCAGCTGTCACACTTTACGTGGAATACAAAAAAAAAACCTTTTCAGATCAAAAAATGAGCAAAAGAGAAAAAGTGCATACTGGTACGAGTTAGTAATTAGAATACTTATCTTGAATGGGGAAGATACGGATGCCTAACCCTCCTTCTCCAAATATTTAGAGATTTTCTCCTCAACAGCCATTTGAATCATAATTACTCACATCTCTAAAAGAACATGAGGAGCTAAAAAGAATTCCTATCTGAAAATAATTATAAATACATTAACCTTCATAAAACATCTGCCAGCAATTACAGATCTTACCAAAATTCTCTCAACCATGTTTTCTCCAAACACAAAATCAGAATTGCTGATGTTTTGTACATTTCTGTCTTCAAACAACTGAATTCTGTGGAAAAAAAAATAATGTAAGAATGTGATATAGAAGTGTTTAAAAATTTGTAAAATGTTTAAGTAAGTTCATGCATTTGCCTTAGCACACCTTGCATTAAACAAAAAACCACCACTTAAATAATCAGAAACTTAATTCTTCAAGAAATCCTTCAGACCAGTCAGTCTCACTTTTGTGCCTGGCAAAATCTTGGAGCAGATTCTCCTGGAAGGCATGCTAAGGCACATGAAAAACAACAAGGTGGTTGGTGACAGCCAGCATGGCTTCACTAAGGGGAAATCCTGCCTGACTGATTTGGTGGCCTTCTATGATGGGGCTACGGAACTGATGGACAGGGGTAGAGCAGTTGATGTCATCTACCTGGACTTGTGCAAAGCGTTTGACACTGTCCCACATGACATCCTTGTCTCTAAATTGAAGAGACATCAGTTTGATAGGTGGACCACTTGGTGGATAAAGAACTGGCTGGATGGCTGAACAAAAAGAGCTGTGGTCAATGGCTCAGTGTCCAGCTGGAGACCAGTAATGAGTGGTGTCCCTCAGGGATCAGTGTTGGGACCGGTCCTGTTCAACATCTTTGTCATTGACATGGACAGTGGGATTGAGTGTGCCCTCAGCAAGTTTGCCAATGACACCAAGCTGTGTGGTTCAGTTGATATGCTGGAGGGAAGGAATGCCATCCAAAGGGACCTTGACACGCTTGTTAAGGTGGGCTGATGCCAACCTTACAGGATTCCTTCACGGCAAGACAGACTGGTCCATAATTCCCTTGGTTATCCAGTTGTTCCTGACGCCAGTTTGGTTTTCTTCTTTAACAAAAGGCTTAGAGGTTGTTCATACTTTCTGTAGAGCTTAATTAATGCATATCTTGCTGGCAAAGGCAAAAACATCCAAGTTCTTGTCTATTTCTGTTTCCAGAAGGATGACTTGGCAGGAGGATGATCTGATGTTTTGTCACAAACTGCATAACTCAGCACCACTTATCTGCTCTTCCAGATCATTTATCACCCTTCGGAGGGCTTACCAGCACGTATGTCATGCAGAGGATGCTCCTATTAATAAGCTGGGTTTGTGGCCAGAACTTTGATGATTGCTTCTAAAACTTTGGTTCTGTGTTCACAACTACACCTCTTCATATAGCATGAAGCATTTTCCAAGTATAAGCTATCTCCATTTTACATGTAAGGAAAAAAATATTCCTTAACATTCTCATGCTTGATGTGTTGCTAAAGCTAAGAGCAAATAAGAAAGAGAAATCAGAGAATCCATCTCTTTTCAACCTTGAAGACTTCCATACGTGTCTGGGGCTATGGACAGGGAATGTGTGTTTAATAAGTTTCTTATTCCTTACGAAAACTTTCCACTAAAATTCACGGAATTGTGATTGTTTTCCATCCTAAAATTTCATCTGCTACCTCTAGGCCACTCCCGTAGTAACTCAGTAAGGACAACACTCCAGAAGAGATAAAAACCAGGAACTAGAGCCTTGTTTGAAACGAATAACATGGGAAATGGATTTATTATTTTCAAAAATGTAACAAAAAAGTAGTCAGTGCAGGATCTTTCTTTTAAGAGGGCTAACTGGAAGTGCCAGCCTTAGAATGCTATTAAAACTTCAACACCCTTGTGTTGCTCCAGGGTAAGAACAGAATGTGTGAGTGATGACATTGCCATGGAGATGAAAAACAGAGGCACTGAATTCAGGGAATGACCACTAACAAGGAATAATGGGAGTAGGAGAAATGTGTGTAAGATACTGGAAAGGTTCTAAGGAAAGGGAGCCAGGTACTGTCCTTTTCAAAGTGTCTGGAAGGGTCTGAGTAGCTCCTAAGTCCAATGCTGGCCTTGAACCCTTGCAGTTTTCTAAGCAAATCCTTGTGGCAAAGCTGAATACATGGCCAGAAGCCTGCATTTTCACAGCATTACATTTCTGTCACTTACAACACAAACTCCTTGGTTTTAATCAGAATCAAGAAACAGCAAATTTCTCATTTTCAATTTACTACAGTCTGTTCAGGAAATGGAACTACTGGTGGTTTCCTGGGATACAAACAGCTGCAGCAACTGCAGAGGGGTAACAAACCACTTCCATTCATCTCTCTACAGAACTGTATCACATAGAGAAGAGGTGGAAGAGGAAGGAAAAGTAAGAGGGACATTTGCATGCAGCAGCAATCTTGCTATTAAGTCTGTCTGCATTTTATTTTGTAAATAAACATCAATAGTTACACCTTGATTAATAATTAAAGACACACCTAAAAGTTCTTTTCTTAGCAATAAGCAGGCCTGGCTGCAATGTTCAACACTATTTAGCATGTACATGGAGTTAGTAAAGTTGTGTGTTCAAATATCTGCTGTCAGGTTATCTGTAAGAAATGTCTATGCCAAAAAAGATTTTACTGAAGTATCTTAAAGCCTCAGGCACTTAGTACAGATCAGAAGAATCTGATCAGTAGAAGATGACCCCCCTGCAATCCCATCAGAGCCATAAGCACCTAGTTGTATTTAAATTAGATTTACCCTCTCAAATAAACCAACATTTACCACAATTGCAGATTAGTAATTTCTTTTTTAAAGAAGGAAAAGAAATACCATAAGCACTTTTAAGTCTTGTAACTTGTTGACACCAGAACACTGAATTGCATGTCTCTGTCCATCTACTCCACAGGAAAAAGCCTCTCAGCTATCTTTTCCTAGATATTATACAGGTGAGAGAAGGTAAATAGACTTGGAGTGTTGATACCAATTGATTTTGAGGTCAGTACCATCTTCCCTCACCTTTTCAACGTGCATTGCCATAATTCTGAATCAGCTAAAAATCCAGCATGTTTGTGGCTCCAAGTTATTCTCACAAGGCATCATTACAGCATTAGTTGTGACAGAAAAGGACAGGCTGGCTCTTCTGAAATCACAGTGAGCATCTGCCCTCTGATATTCTGAAGAATCCAAGTTATGAATCTAAAAATCCCTTACCTCCTCAGAACCCTGGCACTGTGAATCCCAAATGGTGGGTGCAGAAGATGGGCCATAGATGAAGAAGGCTGAAGCAGACTCCTCTGCAGTTAACTCTTGGGAGAACGGCAAATGTGTTATATGTGGCCCTAGCAATTATGAAATGTCATTCCCTCATCATAACTGACTTATCAGGTGTATTCCTGATGCTCACAATTTCCAGGTAAATAACCCTTGTCAACCATCAGCAAGCAGTATTAATATCCACACAATAACTTGCTGATGCTAAGCTGGCTAACCACAGACCTAACATTCTCATAAGCAGGTCTTCAGAGAGAGGTAATAGCCCACTTTTGCACTAGTATGAGCTCTTTCAGTCATACATAGAGGAAGTCCAAGGAAGTCAGCTTCCTCATGCAGAAATTCTGAAGTCCATGCTGGTGAACCCATGTCTGCCCAAAGACTGCACCCTACCACAATCACTCTAGCTAGCTGTTCACGCCAGACAGTCTGGTGTGGGCACAAGCAGAGCATCAGGTGTAGCATTCACCTTGTCTTCCAAATCAGTCCTGTATGGTTTTCTTCATATCTCCTATGTCCTAAGCTCCTATATCCTAATATGTCCGATATATTGTGCTAATTCCTGAGTCTCTCTGCATCTGTTTATGAGATTCAGCAGCTATGCAGTCAGAAGGGAGTTCTCCAAAAGGACACAAAGACGAATGTAAACATTCAAAACCATAACAGATTTTGAACTGCCAAAGCTGCATGAGATGGCAAACCAAAATAGTTTCTGGCCTAGGGGTTGCTAGTGGGAAACAAAATAGCCCACAGAGATTAACTCCTGGCAGAGTCCATTTCTTACGGCATATGGAGCTCATGTCAGCACCTACAAATCCTGGCACCACACAAGCACCAGTGAGCACTGTGTGGGTGTAGATTGCATGGGCTTAGTATCATGTTAGATATGTTGAACAGAAAGGCATGCCATAGACCGACTGATGAAATGGTGTAGAAATATAATAAATAAAAGCTTACGGTGTTGTTGTAGAGCTAGAAAGGCTCACAGTAATAGATGATCCTGCTGCTGTTTTGGAACTTACTGAATTCTCAGCTGAAGAGTAGGAGCTGTCTTCAGATACCTAGGAATAATTAAACTACATGGATTAATTAGACTAAGGTAATTTTCTGCTATAAACATATCTGCTAGAAGTCCAGAGTTACTGAGGTATATGTGATGTTTGTGATGTCATGTGGTAGTTGGCAGAGCTGCCTACAGCTGTGCACTAAGCCAGTACCCTTAATCAAAATGCTAAAATACTATGCTCTAAATAAACAAAATCCAAAAGACCCCCAAAGCTGATTTGCCCACAGAACCCTGATACCTGAAAGTTGAGACAGCCCACAGAGATGTTTTTTCAAACACAGTGAGAATGAGTTTAACAGTTCACACCACGTCAGTGATCCAGCAATTCCACTGCAATTGATATAGGAACTTTCTTGAAAATCATGCAGTGGAATAGTTACTTTTCCTTTTTACCTTAATAAGTGCTTCCTTCTCAGTCACAAGAGATACTACAGGACTTCCAGGACAGGTCAGGGCTTGTGGGGGTTGTAAAATGGCAGGTCTAATGACATTTTGCAACTGACTTTGTGATAAGGATCCTTGCAAAACACAAAAGACAAAATATTTAAACAAAGACTTTTTTTCACACTTAATTCATACCTATGTGTTTTGCCTCTTTAACTAAAGAATCAAAGCATATTTAAATAACATTTATTGTTGTTTACTTGCTACATATTCTGAAAAATTGTAAAATTGTAATCCCTGCTAAAATACACAACTCTGAAGTGACAGCAGCCCCTTTATCCTATGAGAATAAAAGGTATTTTGTTATATATATAAATACACTTATATTTGTAAGTTGTACTTTAAATATTTCTTTACATTTATATTTACTGCTCTATGTTAGATCTGTCTTCTGGTATTTCAAATTTAGCCCTGCACCTGCAGACGCCAAGAAGGTTCTTTATTGCCTTCTCCTGGAGTGCAGTTATTCAGGTAGAAATGTGGAATTTCATTATTCAAAGTTATGTTCACTCTACTCAGGAATTAACTAGTCAGAGCAGAAGCTCATAACAGAGCTTACAGAGTATCTATACTGTCAAACAAATAACTTATGTAACCATAGAGAGAAAAAGGTGTCATTTTTATGGTTTTTTATATCTGTTAAGAATGTCTCTTTGGAACTACAGTGAAAAAATACTGCAATGACAGTTACCTTGTTTTGTACTGCTGATCAGATCAGTGTTTCTTTGAAGAAGAGCTGAGGTCATGAATATGTTATTCTTTACTACAGAACAAGGAATTTAAACTTTAATAAAGAGTAACAATAAACTTCTATTAATAGTTCATGCTTCTGTAAAACCCCTCCCTATTTTGGTAGTACCTGAGCAATATTCCATCAATCTAAACACAATCACTGAGATAACTGTTAGTGTCTTCATTTTACACGTGGGTAGACTTCAGCACCAAAAGTACCATGGATTTTCTGGCTATGTCAGAGACAGAAATCTTTTGGATACTAATAGATGTTTTAAACTCATAAAATCCTTCTTCAGCTTTGAAAACCAGATGTTGCTGCCTTGCAAAATCCACTTGAAATGGCAATCCTATCTGGTCCAATCTTAGCCGATTTTTAGGTGTGTAAATGAGGCTCAAGAACATGGGAGTAAATAAGTGTACCCCCCTGTTCTGGTAAAAAAGCTTTCATAATTTGCCATAATGATGGCATTGTACTACTGGTGCTTTCACTGTTTTAATAAAGATACCAAACACCAGCCAGAAAGTGATGGTAATCATGTACTATGTCCTGTAAAACAACAGAACTAATACTCCACACACAATTACTTCTTTTTCATTGCAAACAGATTATGGTTTGTTCCTATAACAATGTTGCGGCCCCTTAAGATTATTTAGAAATCCTTTATGTCAGTGTCCATAAAGCACCTGTCTCTGGCAAGAGACAAGGATTCACGAGCACTCCATTGTTCTTGTTAATGTTAAGCCGGAGAATACTCCCAGAGTTACTGGCTGGGTGGAAGACAGGCTCCTAGGACAGAAAATTATATTCCTATAGGAACCATAATTATTAAATTGCAAGCAAACTAACTCACATAATTACTTCAGCTCCATCCTGTTTTTTTCAAGTATAATTTGTACTTGAATTTGTACACTGTATAAATGCACATTTGCAAATTATTCAAAGATTCCTCCCTAACACTGCAAGATTCCTTAACACCAAATGAAAAAACATTTCTTCTAATGAACTGCCAGTCCCTTTTGTGAAACTTGCATTTCTTTCTCCTGTCAAAATACCAGCCTAGTACAATGCATTTCAGTTCTGTGCAGAAAAAAAAAGCAAGAAAAGAAATGCAGAAAAAGCATTTCTGTACAGCTCATTATTTTACCTGTTTTATTTATTTACTTAGTTAATTAGTTTATTTTCTTACTTTTTTTTATTTTTAATTACCTGGCTGGGAAGGAGGGAAGGTATGAAGTATGGTGAAGGAACATGATCTCCCTCTTTTCTGAGTGCAAGGTGAATCTGAAAGGGTGAGAGACTGAAATTATCATTTGTTTGGAGAAAAAAAAGTATTAATTGTAAGGTTAGCCAATTTAATGTTATGCCGCCATTGGCAGTAGAATAATTACTGCTAGTTACCAGCTTTCTGAAGTAGACTGTTAGGTTATGTGCATACTGCTGAACTGGAGAGGTCTCTGAGGCCAAGCGGCACAGCCTGGCCCAGGCAATCTGCTCACAGCTAGTCCACCCTCTTAACAGTTGGAGACCACCAGTTACAGAGGTTCAAAACAGAACCAGGAAGTGAGCTATCAGATAAGCAGTGTGGACAACCAAGAGGTCAAACACTCATGCTTCTTCCTGCACCCTGTTTTATTTTCTGGTAGAGGCACACCTTAAAATTTCTACCATATCTGTGATTTTTTATTTATGATCTTGGTATAATTCTCAGAGTAAACCAGGCTTAGCTTATCTTAATTTTTTGTACCTACAATCAGATGTGTCACAGGACTACATAAAACAAAACACAGTGTACACATATTAATGCCTAAATTCAGAAGTAACTTTCTGGTTCCATCCATATGTTAAATAAACACTGTAAATACCAAATGAGTCCTGCTCAGTAGCCTCAATGAACTGTGTGCATTTCATATGGAAGTAATACACAGTCCTTAAAAGGTCTTTCAGGTCAGCTGTTGGCTGGATGGAAGGAGGGGCCCTTCTGGAAACTGCTTCAGATTTTCAGGGGTTGCCTAGGGAACATTGATCTCTTCCACAAACCAGAAAATCTCATTTCTTTCCAGCCCTCCTCCTTCCTTGACTGTGCTAGTAATCCAAGGAAACAATATAAAATATACAGGTTTTTCACTACTTTATGTAATACCATGTAAGCATAGAAAATTAATATATTTTTATTTAAAAGGGAATTTATTTGAAATTACCAGAAAATTAGTGTCAGTGTTTTAAGTTTTCATGACTTGCAGTATTCCTACAGTGCAGAAATGTTTCTTAGACAGGAAAATTACTTATCTTCTTTACCAGATGAGAACACAAACTATAGTAATTAGAACATGACTGAAGCTAAACATCATACCTGTGTTAAACTGAGAGTCAGACTTCTGGTGAGTAAAAGATGATGATCTTGTGCGTTTTCTGGAACAACTAATGAAATCTAGAGAAAAGTAAATACAATGTTCTGCAGGGACAGACTGGCAGGAAATTTCAGCGTAATGTTATGATATGGAATTAAAACTTGAATACAGTAAATTCTAGGAATAACTTATAGGAACAGCTTTAAGGCAGTACCTAAGAGCAAGAGGGCTTTGGAATCTGTCAACACCAGGCACAAAGCCCCAGGGACTCTTCTTTTTTCCTAAGTTCAGGGAACCTAAATCAAGCACTGAGAATCAGTTTGTAGCCCATAGGTTCAGAAGACGTAAGAAGGAGAAATTACATTATAATGTAGCCTAAACAAATAGAAAAGGGCAGCTAGGAGCTCATAGAGCTGATTAATACACCTGGCCACTTTTCAGGGCTTCTGGAGTTTGGCTTTCTTGTAACTATAAGGGTTAAAATGGAAGAATTCTTGAGGTAAGGCAGGACGTACAACATAGAATCATAGAACAGTTAGGGTTGGAAAGATCATCTAATTCCAACCCCCCCGCCATGGGCATGGACACCACAAGCTAAACCATGTCACTCAAGACTCTGTCCAGCCTGGCCTGGAACATTGCCAGGGATGAAGCATTCACAATTTCCTTAGGCAACCCATTCCGGTGCCTCACCACCCTCATAGTAAAGAACTTCTTCCTTATATCTAACCATGTATATTGGGACGTAGTAGATGGCTCTAGAACCCACATAGTCTTCATCTACTAACAGAGATTTGTCCTTACTCATACAAAGTAAGGGTCCAAACACTTATTTCACCAGCAACAGTCAGACCTATGAATAACCCAGTGTACTATACTGTTTCAATAAGGTGGTTATTACCATTTTCAGCTTTGCAAACTGGGTCTTCTGCAGGCCGCTGGAAAAAACAAAAATAAGTGTGGAAAGGTCAAGGAGAACAGAACAGCCATTTTCTAGACTAGGACACAAAGTACATCAATCCAGTGTATATGCATTAAAAGCAGCCTTGTTTCTTATTTCGACTCTTCCTTACTCCATCCTGAAATCATTTATTACAAGTCTTAACCTGGGCTAAAATCTTTTATTACTGCTAGGATCATTGTCTACAGAATACTCATTTCTCATCATTTTTTATCAATTATGAAAAAAAAAAAAGTTTTTTACCTTCAAAGGACGGTCCTTCCTTTCAAAAACAAATGTTGGCTGGGCAACCACCAATCTCTCTGGAAAAGGGATCATTCTTGTTAGCAATTCTGTAATATCATTTCTCAACCACAGTCTTCTAAGTGCTGAGGCAAAACCAAACAGGACTTTATCCTTTTGTTACAAAGGATGAAAATATAAACTTGGAGTAATGTACAGCACATAAATACAAGAAAAGCTGCAGTCTTCAAATCCCAGTATGATTTTTGCCTAACTAGATGCCACAGTATCTGGCCTCATGTTTTTTTACATTACTTTTAGTTAAAAAGAAAAAAAAGTACTTTTAACCTTTACAAACAATATCTGCTATCCTTTAAGAAGAGGGGTGACCTGCAGCTTTAGTTCTCAGAAAAGTGCAAGGACATGAAATGCAAAATTATCCCAAAAGGAAAGCAAGGAAGTGCGTTACACTCAGCCTCTCAGATGTGTTCACACTTCCCATTCTTTAGGCTTCAGGTAGGTGAATGCCTCATGTCAGTTAAAATGTGTATGATATATTAACATATCAAGTTCTACAGTACAAATCCTATCTTCAGGGATACTTTTGCATTTCTTAGCTATGCCTAAAACCAACTCTGGATCCATATTTTGTTTGTGGTTTTTTTTTATGAAACATATTTCAGCACACAGTTTCCTGACATCAGATTTTATGCTGATTTAGGGTTCACTATTTCTACATCTTACACTGCTTCTTTGGAAAACTTACTTTGCGAAGAATGAGACCTTCACAAGCCTGTACAACTATAATGGACAACTTTGGCTGTCAGTGTAAAAGAAGTTGTTTTTACCAATACCAGCAATTAATGACACATTCATTATACCAATAAATGACACAATTAAAAAGCAAAGAAGCAGATACAAATAGATTTTTTTAGACTACTACATACAGGATTCACCTCATGCTAGCTTGATCTCCATGGGTGATAAGGGCAGACTAGGGTGACTACTGAGCTATATGCTTGGCTTTTGGCCAGAGAAATCCCACATTTGATATCTTGCTAATTGACATTTGACAGAGCATTTATCATGTGCACACCATTTTTATAACACTGGCTTCCTGTTACCAGCTCAGGTAACAAACCATCTAAGTGAAAATATATGGATCGACATTTTTATCTTGTTTTGCATAGCTATTTATGACTAAACCACTTTAGCACTGGTATCAATTACATAAAGCTTGATAAAATAAACATAAACCTATCATGGAGGAGTTAAAATTACTAAATATACATATATGAAACTATCAAGGCAAATATTGTTAAAATAAACGCTGCACTTATGTAAATGGGCAGGAAGCATTGCTCAATCACAGTGATATACAGACATGGCAGTAATAACTAATATAGTTTTGCTGTTGTTGAAGTAATTGTGTATTTACTTGGGCATTATGTGTGGCAAAGGACTGAATTTAGCAAACATGGCAGGCTTTGCAATGAAGATCTGGTTTGTCCTCAATAGAAAAAGCAGAAAAAAGTTCACGTTGTGTAACTGCAAAGAAAGATACTTCTCTGTCACTGAAAGTTGAAGAAAGTTTCCATAAACCGGTTGAAGCTGGGGTCCATGGCATGGCATGAGATGGAGCAATTCCACTTCTATTCACTAGGGGGAAGTGGCACATATAAAAAATAGCATTTCACTGCAGTGTGATTTATTCAATATAATGGGTTTCTTTTTCCTGTCTCCTCAAAAAAAGAAAAAGAAAAAAGATGAAAAGAAAAAGAAAAAAAGAAAACCACCACCGACTTGTATTCTTATTGAATGAAGAAAAATACAAGAATTAAAGCATGACTACAGAAAGCTTCATGGTCTCCACAGTACCTCTCCAAACTCAGAAGCTAGCAATATTTTTAAAGGTACATTTACTACTCCAAAGCAGGAATTAGCAATGACTGAATTGCTGTGAAAAAGGAACTGACTTTCTATCACAAAGTTAACTTTTGCTGGAGCTAAAAGGCTGGAGGGAATTTGAAGGAATTAGGAAAGTTTGCTACGATTTAAACAACAAAATTCCAGTAATAGTTTAAATCCCAAAAGTTCCTGAAAAAAAAAAAATGCATAAGTGGCTGATTACCAACAGAAAGATGTAAAGCTAGGGCATAACAGTACCTTAAAAAGATGAGTATTTTGATACTGCAGTAAATATAAAAGGTATATCATATCAACCACTTTTGAGCCAAAGCTGTCTCTAAAATATGTCAAGAGGTCGCTGATGGTGCCACAGTTATTTATAATTTTTATGGTTCTCTATTGCTTCCACAAGAATCAAGAAACCCTTTTTGTAACTCCTGAAAAGTATTCCATACAGCTCATCAGCAAGATCTTCACTCCTAGATCAGCCCATTCACAACACAGTTTTTACAAATATATTTGTGTTAACTAATGTTTCCTGTGCACCCATTTCCAATTACATTTTAAACTTCTCAGCTCTTCAACAAAATATCTGCAGCTGATCCCCGCAGAAAAAGCAATTCATAATTACCTGTGAGTGCAACAAGGCCATCAAGGAGTTACCACAATCATGTTTATGTGCCGATTTTAACACTGATGAGCAACTTTGCATTTTTCTCCTTTGGTTCCTGCACTAAGGCTGCGGCTGCCAGGGTGGATGTTTGTGCACAGGGAAACGCAGGGGGCACCCAGGCAGAACCTGACTGTCCCAGGGAAGGGGCAGCAGCAGCCAAGGCTGGGTGCTGAAGCCACCCGTCCTGCTCACTGCCAACAGGACACAGACAGACGTAGGCTGGCTAGTTCCTGGTTAGGACTGGGCTGCTCCAGCCGTCAGCAGCTTGGTACTTGTGGATGAAAGAGGCTGTTGGAAAAGTTACCAGAAAAAACCTGCCAAATGGGCTGCATCGGGCTGCAGGGACTGGAATAATCCACCAGCCTCAGCCAAGACTCCAGGCTTAGAACCTGCCTGCCTGCCCATGAATAATCACCACAGATTGGGCTTTTCCGCACTACAGTTCTCCTGAAGCTGCTGAGTTAGAATCTTGGCCTAAAGTCTGCTGCATTCGGAGTTCAAAACAAGCCCTTGCCCAGAAGACACATGAGAAAAGTTCAGTTCCCTTGTTTGAGACCTTATCTGCACAGCCTCCTATCCTGTGCAGAAGTGCAACCAAACCACAACATGGAAGGCACCCAGGTCTCAGGCCTGCCGCCTGCTCTGCTCACCCGGGGCAGGCGTCCCTGCCGCACCGCTCTGCCTAGCACTGTATATGCAGGCTACTGGCAAGTTACAGTTGTTCGTATGCCAGATGGAAACTGCGTTTACAAAGCTCTTTTTGAAAGAAAGTAAGAGATGGGTTTTGGGAAAAGTAATTGCTGGCTGCTGCCTAAGCCTAGGAAGCACTAGTCCAAATGACATGCCAGAGCGAATGTAAAATGTTTTTTCCCAGCTCTGTGTCCCAAAAGCCAGCATTGTCCATGAGGTGCATGGGTCCTTCAGCCTTTCCTGTGATATTCCACTCTTCATGGCCACTGCTTTTTAAAAAGTTGTACAAGTTTCCCAAACATTAAAAAACAAGTGGGACTCTGGTGTTTTTGAAAATATTAGGGTTCCTATTATTGCTCCATCTTGCCCAGAGGAAATGTAAGTATCTTTAACCTCTGAGGGCTAAGGACACAGTAGAGAGGGTATGAGCCCAAATCTCTCTCCAAATTTTCAGGCAGTCTTACGCCTGAAGTCCTATGCCAAATGTGGCTGACAGTGCTGTGCCTCTATTCCTCACAAAGCGAAGCAAAACCCCCTCAAATGTTTAAGAAGTTAATATAGGAATCTGTGATCTCAACAAGTTTTTTTTAATTCTGAATTTTATACAGTTAATTTTTGCATTTTCAGATTCAAAAGAAAATAAATTCCATTGCATCGTCACTATCACCAAACTTGCCAGAGGTCTGAAAACATTTTAATTCCTATTCATGCCAAACACTTTCCCATTTTGTACCTAAAGTTAGGAACCTACATCTTTAAAAAACAACAGTAGGAGGTTTTGTATCACTCAGGGTGACTGCCTCCAGTGAAAGTTCTGAATGTGCACCAAATCTAAAAATCAAACTGACTTTATATATGCATTAAAGTGCTAAAATGCAGGCACCAGAATTTGACAGCAATTACAGTTCTTTTACATGAATCATATTTTTCTCCTGCAGTCTTAGTAATGGGTTCCATCCTAGAAAGGAATAACAGAAACAGATTTTCTCATTCAAATTTGTGTCCTGTTCAGGTCGCTTTCATTGGTTAGTGATCCTCTTTAGCCAATCACAAAACTGAGTGGACATTTATGGAATTAGGCTCTCTGTGGTGTCAGAGGTATGCAACATCACCCAGATCTTCTAATTCCTGCTCAGTGACTAGACAATACCTTCCTCACGGACTAGCCAGTCAGTGTTGAGGAAAGATGTAAATACTTTTCCAGTAAATTAACCTAATACCTTATAAAATATAAACATGTTACGTGGTGCTCTCCCTTTGGCTTTGTATTAGATTTTAAAATTAGGCTTAACTGAAAGCCGTATGAAAAAATGTGTTTTCAAATATTTCACCAGAGTCGCCAATACGTGTGTTTTATTCTATTTTTCAATTGAGTTCCACTGAACAGTGAGGTGGCAGCACTCACATGTCTGTGTTGTTTCTTTCAACAATCGCATACTGAGAATTTCTATGAAGGCCTAATGCCAACCCACTGGATCTTGCCTGAGCTTCTACTATTCCAACAGCTTTATGTATTATTTGTATAGCTCTTTACAAGTAACTACCAATCCTGCAATCAGCTATTTCAAATTGGCTTACCTACAAAACTGGACCCTCCACAAAAAACCTGGAAAAAAACCTCCACCCAGTAGTACATAAGCACAAACAAAGATGTAACCCTGACAACAAAACCTGTTGTAAAAAATACATTTTTCTCAAAATTCCTTAAATTAAAATATCAATTTGTACATTTTGGGGTTTTGTAGCAATCCCATTTGCACCTCATCAGAAAACTTTTAATTCTAACACAGAAACGACAATTTTTACTTTCCACATTTGTATTGGCTTTTCAGGGCAAGGCTCTGGTAGAGCGGGGCTAGAGGTGTGGCTTCTGTGAGAAGGTGCCAGAAGCTTCCCCTATGGCCAACAGAGCCAGCACCAGCCAGCTCCAAGATGACATGACACTGGCCAAGACCGAGCCCATGAGTGACAGTGGTGGCACCTCTGGGAGAACATGTTTATAAAGGTGGGGGGATGACACTAAAAAAAAACTAAAAACAGCAATTGCAGCTGGAAACAGGAGTGGGAATATGTGATAGAAACAGCTCTGCAGTCACCAAGGTCAGAGCAGAAGGAGGGCAAGAGACACTCCAGGCACCAGAGCAGAGATACCCCTGCAGCCCATAGTGTAGACCACGGTGAGGCAGGCCATGCCCCTGCATCCCATAGAGGTCCATGGTGAAGCAGTTCTCCACCTGCAGCCCGCGGAGCTCCATGGTGGAGCTGGGGGATGCCCAAAGGAGGCTGTGACCCTCTGGGCAGCCTGTGCTGGAGCAGGCTGCTGGCAGGACCTGTGGCCCCATGGAGAGAGGAGACCACGCTAGAGCAGCCTGTTCCTGAAGGACACACCCCATGGAAGGGACCCACACTGGAGCAGTTTGTGGGAAGGATTCACACTGGAGAAGTCCATGGAATACTGTCTCCTCAGGGAGGGACCCCACACTGCAGCCAGGGAAGAGTGTGAGGTGTCCACCACTGAAGAAGGAGCAGCGGACACAATGTGTGATGAACTAACCACAGCCCCTACTCTGGGTCCCTTTGATGGGCTATAGCATGAATTTCACTAGCTTTATCTATTACTGCTATAATTTGCAAAAATAAAAGCAGAAACACCTCTGCATTTTGATATTACAACTTAAGACTGCTGTTGCAGTCACAGAACTCAAACCAAATAAAGTTAAGCAAAAACAACAAACTCTTACATGTAACAAACATTGCCATTTTGTTTATTTCACATGCAAATTAGCTCAATGGGAACATAACTGGGGAAGATGCTGAGTAGATTTACTGTGACTTTAGTTGCTACATCCCCACAGCTAGTTTTGCATTACTGAAATACTGAGAAAAAAAGGGAGAGCTTTGCCTCTGCCATTTATGAATATATGTTGTTTACAGCTATTACTTACAAAAAAACCCACACTAAGACAAAATATTGTGCCTGGCATTTTATGGCAGTGTACATGAAGAAAAAGAATGCACCAATGAACTACCATGTAAGTGGAAGATACGGATCCAGAAATTCGTATAGTTCCATTAAAATAAATAGGAATCATTCTGAATATGTTAGCTGAAGATCTGTCCATTAACATGTTACCTCAAAGAGCATCAGAGTTAAATTATGTAGGAATATAACCAATTTTTGTTATGCTGCAAAACCACAGAAAACTACTTACATTTCAGGTAATAAAACTGCAGTAACAGGAAGTAGAGAAACAGAAATAATGAAAAAACATAGTAAATTAACAAAAATACTTTGCTATCCAAGCTGGGCCTCATGTTTAAATATTATTTCTGGCTTTTGATACAAAAATACAGCTGTCAGTGTTTCCAGAGATAGACCATTTTCATCTATAAGGAAGCGAAAAAACAGTAAAACCCTCCTGGCTTAGAACAGGGTTTGCTAAACCTGCAGTAGAACCATGGTTTCTGTTTTATAAATACTCACTGAACTTTGCAACATGAAATAGAGTCAGTCCACAGTCAAGCAAGAGAGCAGTGAGGCTGCCAGCCAACATCTCAGGTCTCCAGTGACCTCATGACATAACCCAGGCTTTCCTCTGCCAAAACTTAAGTAAGATGACACAAACAAAATGGGGATGTCCCAGAACAGTACTTCAGGCACCCAACTTAATAAAATTGACCAACTTTAAGATGTACAGAAAAAGCTTTTAATATTTTGCACTGCTGATCCTCAGTAAGAGGTCTGTAGAAGTGCTGAGCAGCTGAGAACCTGGGTTAAGACTCCTATCTTGCACTTTCTTTGTTTCATATATAGTTCATAACCCACATAAATAATTTCACTGTCATCAGTGACACCAGTTATGACAGCAAGGATTCTTCATTCAGGCACAGTTGTGCAGAATCAGGCCCTAAATTTTTAAGGCATCAATTATTGTTCTCAATGCTAACAGATTACAAATACAGTTTTCTTACCACTGTGGAAAGGATTCTTTTACCCAAGCAATTCCATCTACACAGCTCCCACTGTGGGGTTAGAGCATGCCTTATGAGATTTACAAATTAATACACTTTTTTTCAGATATGGAAACTCAGCTGACAGCCTGCAAAAGCGTTTATACATACAGCATATGTCACACCCGTTCAACTCTGCAGAGCACAGCTTTTGTCTCTATATGGGCAACACATAAACAAGCGTTGAAACAACAACAACAAAAAAACTATCCCAGCATTTCTAACAGTTGGCTTTATTTCAAACATGAGAGTGAAGGAAATATTTTGGGAGTCTCATCACTACAATGTAATTCTAGCAGTGAAGCAACGCCAGAAGTAACTGTGTCACCAGACCAGTGGGACTGCGCCAAAGTATGTAACCAAAAATTATTTTATAAACACTGAAACTTCCAGCACTGCAGTGCTCAGCATTTTTAATCTATTGTAAAAGCTTGTAATACCCAATACCCAATGCAAGGGCAATACAACTCATGGGTATATAAAGCTTTTCCCTTTTCAGGGCACTGTACCAACACTAAATTTAATAAATCCCTGCAAAGTAGCATAGAAGTAACACTCAGGATTTTTGTGCAGAAATTGAACTGTGATCCAACAACACTTCCACATCCTTAGATTTAGGTATGTAAATAAATGGGATTATGTGTGCTCAACACCAAGCACAAACTGAAAGGCTGGTTAACTGACAAATTAGCCCAAGCTAATTAAGCTGTATCAGCCACTGCATCAGGTTTAGACCTTGAAAGCACATACATCCTTTTGCTGTTTCAGGTTCATTCATCAACCTGTGTGGTAAAAAATGGCGTCATCTGCAAAATGTCTTTAAAATTAGCACTGTTTCTTTTTACATCCTCTTTAAAAATGTTGCTATTACAAATTCATGTAAGCTACTCTAATTCCTGTTCCTCCTCACTACCAAGATGATAAATCTTGCTGTCCACCTCCTTCATCAGGTACCTCTCTGAGGAGCTGGACTGCTCTTAGTGCCCAGGTGCAGAGAGCAGTAATGCCCAGGAAAGCGAGCACTGATCCCAGGTACGGCCAGGAAAGCGAGTGCTGTTCCCACCCCTAGTCAGCGTTTTGGAAAGCTGCAGAAGTTTGAAGGGCAGAGGAGTCAACACTCTTTGAAACACAGGCAGCCTACCTTGGGGTGCTCTACAAGTAAAACCCCAAACATACACTATGTGGTAGTGTCTTTCCCTCAACTAAAATACAAACTGGATAATCCTGATAGATTACCACTAAAAACTTGCAATGGAGAAACAGCAGCCAGCCAAGCTCTCGTTTTGCATCACCACAATGCTGTTACCAACCGGGTACACTCTTTGTGTTTATTCCATTCCCCAGAAACCTCCCTGCAAAGACGCAGGACACATGTGGAAGATACTCGCCCACAAAACCTACCCGTACAGCACTCGTCCTTGGGCTCTAGCTCGCCAGGGCAGAGCCTGGGGCCGGGCTGTCCTTGCAGGCGCGCAGTTTGGTGCACAGCCCAGGGGTTACCGGGCAGGTCTCTTCTTTTGGAGAAGTCACGGTCTGCCTTCGTACCGTGCCTTGATTCGACTGAGAAGTCACAGCCGGCACAGGCGTGCCGCAGATCTGTGCGTACAGCGTTCCCTTCGCAGGCGGGAACTGGCTGATTTCTCATTGTGGGATCGATCCTTAGAAGCACATTTACCTATACAGATATGTGATCATGTATGTAGATATAAAAGCCGTAGGTGGGGCTAGAACTGGATTTAGTCTTGCTGCTCCCTCGGCCACCGCGCTCAGGCCCGCGCCCCTCACCGGACGGCCCCTCGCAGCCACCGCCGGAGGTGACTGAGGCCGCACCGCCCGAGCTGCGCTGACAGCGCGGGGCGAGCCCTTGACGGGGCGGCCGCGGGGAGGGGACATGAAGAGGCCGCGGACTGACATCAGGGGGCGGGCGCGGTGTTACCGCCTGAGGGAGCGCGGGGGGGGGGGCCCGCTCCCGACCGGCGGGGGCCGAGGGGCCACGCCGCAGGCCCCGGCACCGGGGGCCGTGGCTCTGAGGGGCGGTCATGGAGGGGCAGCCCCTCAACCGGACCGTGCTGCTCCCTGACCGGGATTTCTCCCTGAAGAACTTGTGCTTTCCCCTCTAAAGGAAGTGTACATTTCGCTTGGCAGATGTCTCCTTTGATACTGTGCTCGGTGTTGATTTTTCGGGCTGCGCAAAGCAGACCAAACAGACAAAAGGGAGGCAGGCAACCGCTAAGCTCATTCCAGGGCTGACATGAAACAAATGCACTGTCAGCAAAAAAAAAAAAAAAAAGGTGTTAACATCCCCTCCTTGAGATGCACTGAGCGGCGAGTTTATACAGCCCAGCCCGTGCCTCCTGCTGTTCACTTAAATGGTAACAGTCCCAAATTCCTCACTTCAAGTGGGAGCAATGTCAGGCCATTACATTACAGGCCTGGCGCTAAACTGCCTCTAACCCTAATAGTTCATGACAAAAGGGTGGGATTTTATTAAAATTTCATCAGAACCATATGTCTAGTCGAATCTGGTTTCTTCACACAGCCAGTCTCAGATGTTTCACATAAAAAAAAAAGATGCAAGAAGTCCAAGAGCATGCAGCAGTTTTCACTCATTAGAGCCCCAGTTAGTGTTAGCATAAACCCTGAAGTGTGCTGTTTTACTCCTGCTACAGAAGGACCATAGAATCATTTTGGTTGGAAAAGACCCTTAAGATCATTGAGTCCAACTGTTAACCCAACACTGCCAAGTCCACCATGTCCCTAAGTGCCACATCACATCTTTAAACACCTCCAGGGATGGCGACTCCACCACTGCGCTGGGCAGCCTGTTCCAGTGCTTGACAACCTTTTCCATGGATATTTTTTTCCTAATATCCAGTCTAAACCTCCCATAGTGCAGCTTGAGGCCATTAACTCTTATCCTATCACTTGTTACTGGGAAGAAGAACCTCCTTTCAGGTAGCTGTAGAGAGCGATAAGGTCTCCCCTGAGCCTCCTTACCTTCAGGCTAAACAACCCCAGTTCCTTCAGCCATTCCTCGTAAAGCTTGTTCTTTAGACCAGCTTTGTTGCCCTTCTCTGGACATTCTGCAACGTCTCAATGTCTTTCTTGTAGTGATGGCCCAAAACTGAACATGGTATTCAAGGTGTGGTACCCTCAGCCTTAACTGTTAGTACCAGGTATTTTTGTGAACTCCAATTAAATGTACAGCCTCTGTCTAAACCTTTCTAAACCCTTGACTTCATGGGTACATTATGTCAGAAAGTTCCACGGTCACTATTGCATGAAGAACTGTTTTTGCAAATTTTCTGTTGAATAATGTCTTATTACTGGTATGGGCAGCAGTCCTATTCAGACTGCTGAACACCATTTCATTGTTTTATCACATATTCTGTTAATCTTCTGAGGCAAACGGTTCAAAACTTTTCATTCATTATTCCCGTGAGAATTCCTCCTGCTTTGTTGCAGCTCTTGAGCCTCAAATTCCAGAACACTCTTCTTTGGACTGAAGATGCCCACAGTCAAGCTTGTGGAAAGCGCAGTGGCCCAGAGCTATGCTTGATCTCTTCAGAATTATTTTTCATTCTCTTCCACGTATTTCCTAAAACCTCAGTCATTTTCAGTCATATTGCCCACTGAACAGAGCTGTTATCACACTGGTTGGGGTAATGCCCAATTCCATTTTTGAGATTACCAGAGAGTTAATTTAGAATCCCATAAAATGTATTTATAATGGATTTTTTCCTTTTTTTTTCTGCAAGACTGTAATTTGTCATTAGTATTATGTCATTAGTTGCAGTATTTGCCATTTTAGTGAGTATTCATTTAATAGAGTGTAAGACTTCTCAACTTCTTTAATGCCTTCTCTCAACTGAATGACTTAAATAATTAACTTGCAAATGCTGCTAGATTGTTGGCACCTTTCCAATTCATCTACATTGGAGGCCTTAATATGAAGTCTGTTTTTCATCTCTGCTCAATAAAACTAATGATTTATTTTTACTTCCTTTCCCTGTTTCTTAGGTAAGTTTTGAGTCATGTTAATGTTTGGTCTGATCCCAAGAATATCTAGTTGTGGGCTAACTTTAGGCTTGAAAACACCTGTTTGGTGACAGCAATCATGGCTTCACTAAGAGAAAATCATGCCTGACAAATTTAGTGGCCTTCTATGGAAGGGTTGCAACACCAGTGGGTAAGGGAAGACCAACTGATGCTGTCTGCCTGGACTTGTGCAAAGCATTTGACACTGTCCCACATGACATCCTTGTTTCTAAACTGCAAAGGCATAGATAGATCGCTTGGTGGATATGGAACTGGATGGATAGTCACTCTCAAAGAGTTGTGGTCAAAGGCTTGATGTCCAACTCGAGATCAGTGACAGCTGGTGTTTCTCAGGGGTCGGTATTGGGATCTGCATGGTTTTAACAACTTTGTCGGAGACATGGACAGTGGGGTTGATGCACCCTCAGCAAGTTCGCCGATGACACCAAGCTGTGTGGTGCTGTGGGGGCTGGAATGTATCAAAGCTGTCAGAGACCATGGGAAGGAGAAACTACTGCTGGCAATTAAGAGTGACCTGTCCCTGACTGGTACTTGGAAGACGTTGGAACTGGCAAGGAACAAGGACGTTGGAACTGGAAAGAGGATGTCAGTAAGAAAATCAGATAGACCTTTCACCTGATGTAACCGCAAGGCAAACGCAGATGTGCTTGGCAGCATATAAATATCGTGTAATCTTTTCAATAAATGATCCAGCCTGCACTCTACCTCTGGGTCTGTGCCTCCATCCTCACATGGTGCGGTAGACACACTGGAGAGAAGGGAGGCTACCCAGAGGGACCTTGATACACTTGAGAGGTGGGCCAGTGAGAACCTCATGACGTTTCACAAGGCTAAGTACAAGGTCCTACAGCTGGGTCAGAGCAATCCCAAACATAGTTACAGGCTGGGTGGAGACTGGATTTAGAGCAGCCCTGAGGAGAAGGACTTGGGGGTGTTGATTGATGAGAAGCTCAGCATGAGCGAGCTTCAGTGTGCACCCACAGCCCAGAAACCCTGGGCTGGGGTGCATCAAAAGAAGAGTAACCAGCAGATCTAGGGAGGTGATTCTGCCCCACTGCTCTGCTTTTGTGAGACTCCACCTGCAGTACTGCATCCAGCTCTGGGGCCCCAGCATAAGAGGGGGGACCATGAAGTGAGTCTTAGAGGAATGCCACAAAGATGATCAGAGAGCTCATGCTCTCTGATCATCATGAGAGAGTTGGGCTTGTTCAGCCTGGAGAAGAGAAGGTCTTCTCTCTAGGGAGACCGTGTAACAGCCTTCCAATACCTAAAGTGGGCCTATAGGACATCAAGAGAAGGACATTTTACAAGGGCCTGTAGGGACAGGACAAGGGGGAATGGTTTTCAGCTGAAAGAGGGAAGATTTAGGTTAGACATTAGGAAGAAATTCTGTACTGTGAGGGTGATGAGACATGCACAGGTTGCCCAGAGAAGCTGTAGCTGCTCCATCCCTGGCAGTGCTCAAGGCCAGGCTGGACAGGTCTTTGAGCAACCTGGTCTGGTGGAAGGTGTCCCTGCCTGTAGCAGGGGGTTGGAACTGGATGAGCTTTAAGGACTTTTCCAACCTAAACCATTCTATAAGTCTCAGAATACATTTTCTTTTGTGTATTCATACATAGTGATCTACAGATTTCTAGGTACTTAGAGGTTTTAGTTGTGTTTTGCATATATGCATACTGTACTATATAAACTTACTGTGTACTGTGTCTACTACAAGATCAAGATTCTTATGCTTTTGGTGAAAAATCTGAATAATATGGTGAATAAAGACAAGTCAGAAGGTGCTGAGCGCTTTTCTGTTCGTGTCTGATGTGGCTAGCACAGCTTAAAAAGAAAGGTGCTATAAGCTGAATTGCTAACTTGGTGGAATTGAAAATCTTAATCCTACGGGCCAGTTTTAGAAGGTCAATTCTGGTAAAGACTGGTGAACTAATTTACCTTCAGTGCAGTTATTTTAAGGGCATCTTTCCTAGTTTTTATCAAGCTTCTGAATTCAGCTTGAGTTGCAGTTGTTACAATTAGGACCTTGCAATTTGACATTAAAATTTTTGTCTTTTAAAAAACTGGTGTAGAAAACTATTTGTACTCTTAAAATAGGGGACTGATGCCCCTTCACATTCAAAGATCTATCAAGGTCATGAAAGGACAGCAACAACTTGCAGGAGTGGTACTGAGACTAACCGAATAGTTCTGAACATTCTGTTCCTCTTAGGCTTGTTTTGGGTTCTCTTGTGACCAGCATGTAATCAACCTTCCCTACTGCAACTTATTATTGTAAGCCCCATGTAAAATACTGTAAAAGTGTATTTAAACACTGACTATGCCAAGTAAAATAGAGGTCTGAGTTTAAACATGTGTGACATTAAATGTGTTTATACCAAACATGAGCTTGATCTGTCATCTAAAGACCTAGTATACGAGAACATTTGAAAAACTTGGATGAGGTGGATCGTGGTCTCAGATTTCTGTTCCAAGTTGAGAGAATGTTTTCTTCATATATGATATATGTTGGATCACATTAAATTTTTATATTTAGTTCTGGAAAAGCTGAACAATTTAGTGGCTGAATTTACGGACATTTTTCTAACTTCCATTTCACCAGCTTAATTTAGAAATTATGCATTGCTGCAGCTTGGTTGAACTTTTGGCCCTCACTTCTTCAAAACAATTACAAATATTAGAATGCATTAGTTGAACTTAGGTGAGTTTG